AATTATCATTTAATACTATCAATGTATCTGTAATCTTTAATAATAAATCAATAGTAAAAAAAAAATATATATATATAAATCCTTTTCCAACTATGTGATAATATTCTTATTTGTGACATCACATTGACTCATGTAAAAACAAATTCTATTATTAAAAATAATAAAAAAATAGTTAAAAAAATCATTTTTAAACATACCGCCATTATTAAAGGAATTAAATTAGTTTCTGCAAATATTAATCCTCCTAATATTATTTTAAAATATCTTAACTGATACAGGAACTCTTATTATATGATCAAATTGTATTTTTAATTGCATCGGAAGGTTATGGACGTACGCAGGTCGCGTGCGCCAAAGATAGCGGTGCGATTGCATTACTTGTGTCACTATTTTTGACAGGAGCACGCTCTCGTCGCTGACAACACGGAAGCTCTGAAAGTTATCTTAATTTAACATTATCGTTATAGAAACTCGATCTTTGATCTTTATGAAGTGAGCGAAATATGTTTTTTTCCAGTAATTTTCTCTTTACCTATGCTCATTTTACTATCATGATATTATCATAGAAATCGATTATAGAAACATCAGAATATCTTATATCCCATTTAAAAACTGAAATTCTTTTCAGGAAGTATTACTTTCTTCCATAAATTTATAAACTTAAAATAACAATTATTAATATATGTATTATATACAGTTTCCGTTTAATTTAGATATGTCAATCAGTTTCTATAATTATATGTATTGGAAGTAGAGTTTTCTATTGATCACCGAATATCTGAGAGTTGAGTATTTTAGTCAGATGAGTCATAATAGATTATCATTCAAGCATGAGCCACATTTACGAAATTCAAAGTAGAAGTCTAAATCATTATTGTCGCCTATTTACGCCTACTATCATCTACTATCGGTCATTCGATGTGGGCCAGCAGTATCTTACAGATAATCCATCGGAATGGTAAATTATAATACGTCCTTGGGGAGACGTAGGCCACTCACTAGCGTTTTAAATGTGTAATGATATATTACCTCTTGCATGAAGTACATTAAAACACAAAGAATAAGATATTAAAAATTACTCATAACTATGAGAATAATAAAGAAATTCTTGTCTTAATAAAATACATAAAAGCTGAACAATTTTTAGTCAACACAATGTGTATGATCACTTTATTTAATAAAATAAGAGATTTAAAAATATTTTTATATAAAATTTTTAAAAAAAGAAAAATATACCCTTTTGTACTCATATTTACAGAAAATTTAAAAACTCAGATTATGCTTCTTTTACAAAATTACAAAAATATTACGACCATAACATATTATAACCATAACTTTTGATGTTTATAAATAAAATAAAAAAAGAAAGTTATGCTAAAGCTGTTAGCTTTATTCTGTCAAACTGCATAATTTAACTCCATATATAGTTCAGTATATCGATTAAAAATTATGCAAGCGTTATGCAAGTTCAAGGCGGTAACGGTTTATCTTGCACAGTCCGGCGCATGTGGATTGCATGGCGAGATACGTGATTTATCCTGTGCCGTTATATAAATTGCCTTGCCAATGAGCAAGTACGCAACACGGAGAAATGTTTATTAAACACAAGTGCAATTAGGCTTCTAGGTTATCTATATCAAATAATAAAGTTGAACTTGTTTTCGTAAACATGAATCACTAAACTTTCAATGCTATGAATAAACTTAAGTATTATTAATCAAAATGTTTTATCCAAATAATGATCACATTAACAATCCATACCATTCATCTCACATTTACTTGTTATTATACTATTTGTTCACTTGTTATTATACTTTATTATTAAAAAATTAATATTAATTAATTTATTTTAATAAACACATATAAACTATTTTTATTATTTTAATATTTTGTTATTTTACATCTTTTTCCATTATTTTTTAATTTTAATTCTTTAATATGAATCAGGATAAATGTGAATGTTACGCATATATAACAGTTTTTTTAAAGATATTATTAATATTGAAAAGTTTTTTAATAGAGAGAGTTATGTCTTATAATCGCGTTAGTTCGCATAACAGCCTTTTATTTTTTGTAATTGAGCGCAGCATATACACATTGCATGTAATGCAATGGATCAATGTGCGTTAATACATACGTAAATCAAACGCTCGCCAAAAATGTCGTGCATATATAATAAGATTTTCGCATGCATATATAACGCTGTCATGGTCATTGAATTGCGTCGACATGATTATGATCGCGAGCGATGAAAATAATCATCGCGTAAATAAGTACACATATAATTTAATCAGTTGCAAGATAAAATTTCAATAAAAATTTTCCCGGTATTAATTATAATATTATTCACTAGAATATCTTGTAATAAAATTTTTTTTGTGTTCCTATATTACTTACGTTTCATCACGTGCTACATAAAAATTGTTATATTATTAAATTGCTTATATTAATAGAAATTATTTCTTTAATTTTTTTATTAATAGATAATTTAAAATCTTTACAAACAGAAAAATCATTCAAACATAATCTTTATAAGATAATTAACTATCAAAACTATATTAATCATGAATATATAAATTGATTAACAAAAAAATAAGCCAAAATAATTGTCTTTCCAACGTGATAATACATTTTTAGGTATTGCCAGCACGCTCTTTTGTAGTTTGGAGCATTTTACCATTCAATAAAAAAGTCTAAGGTCAATTTCACGACACTGTTTCATAATTTTATTAAAAACTTAGTTAATACAATATTTAAAAGTAACTTTCATGAGATAATGAGTTGTCAAATCCATACGCATCAGACTATATTAAATGGATTAACAAAGGACTAATAAATGTAATAATTAGCAGCAAGATATGCAGTCACATATTAAAATACTACTATTCATCTAATGTATACTTGAAGGTACAATGCACTTATTAAAAAAATTGCCAGATTGTTCTTACAAAAATATTTTTGTTATAAAGTCTTTTCATATTTTTGTGTTTTTATGCTATATATATGTCGGCATTTTACTAATTTTAAATTCAATTTTACTGTTCACACTTGAACTATTCATTTATTCAGTGTTTAAAATGTATAATGTATACATATATAATATCATAAAATAGCTAAAGAGAAAAAATTATGGAATATTAATTATCATCCTCTCTAAATTAGTTAATGCAGAATACATTTTAAAATTAAAATATTGTAATTATAACAAAATAAAAATAAATTACTGTATATGCAATTATTGTTTTATTTTAAGTACCATTAAGATTTTTATAAAGTACCATTAAGATTTTCTTTTAAAGTATAATGAAGTATAAAAAAGGCTTAAATTATTTTAAGAGAAACATTCTATAATAATATAGCATATAAAAAGATAACCCAAGTTTTTTGCAATACATTTTGGACAATTTATGTTGTATTTTGTCATTCAATCTACTTTGTCGCAAGGGCGTAAAAGTCAGGTGAATAAAGGGGAAATGCGGAGAGGTGCAAGATCGACTCCACCCTCATAGAATCTCACGACACTCCTATCGAGGTTATCAGAAAGCATGTAAATCGCCAAGATCGACAGTTGTGAGAGCGGAATCTTAAGGGTTAGCATAAAAAAGGCAATTGCTTCTATTTTCCCATCCACCTTCTCTTCTGACACCTCTTCACTCCCTCGAGAGCATCCGGATGCATGCATACGCATAGCTCTGTATCCCACAGATGAATCGATAAGAAAAAAAAGAGGAAGAGCAGAAAGAAGGAAGAAAGGGAGAAAGAGAAGGAAAGAAGAAAAAAAATGAAAGATCAGAAATAACGGGGAATAAACGAGCGCGAGAAAAATAAAAGAGACAAAGATGGATTAGTTCCTTTCAACTGCACTTTCTTACACTTTCTTACACTCTGTATACTTTATCAAATTATTCGCGCTATTTCATACTTTCTTATATCCATATCAGATTACATATTGGAGATTAAAAATTATATAGATTGAAAATTAAAATTTAATCAATTAGGATATAAAACAGAATAAAATTAAATTTATCCGATTGGTAGAATTTGTATCATCAGTTAGCAGTCTTCAGTTTTCAATACTTAATTTGGAGATCTCGATTGTGTATGTTGAAATGAGTTAAAAATGATAAAAGCGAGCAAATTCACTAGAATATTTATAATTTAGTTGGTCATTAACGTCATCTAATAAATTACTTTTATAATTTTTACTTGTTTCAAGATACAGAATCAACGTTTCTTTCTGATACGAGCTTTGCGCTTTTTGTATTTAAAAGATAAATGTATATATAATCATATAATAGTAAAAAGAAATAAATATGTGAAAAGAATAAATTTGATATGAACAAAGCCATCAAAGTAGTCAAAGAAATAGTTTATTCATCCTCTTTTATACTTTATTACATTTAAAGAGCAATCATATGCATATTAAGCATATGCATATTTAAATTAAAATCATGGTTGAAAATAAAGTACAATTTCAAAATCAATTTTATATCGAAAATCATATAATTAAAAAAGAAGTGGAAGAAAGGAAATATCGCAGAAAGAACGAATGAGAAAATGAAAGAGAGAGACAAAGATGGACGATGAGTCTGCTCGTTTCAATCACACCTTCCTACACTCTCTACACTCTCGTCAAGTTAATTACACTTATTCACTATTTCACACCTTGCACTTTGTTACACTTTTCGTGCCTAAACCAAAATAGATGTGCACGCAATTGTCACAAAAAGAGAAAAAGAAAAAAGTAAGTAAAAAAAATGGGCAAAATCCAGCAGAGAAAGAAGCAAACTATCGATCTTTTTCAATCTTTTGCAATTTATAACATTCGAACGATACTCAATAGGAACATAAAATTGGATGCGTAAAATTGGATGAAAGTGAAAGCGATATAACCGAAAGAACAGTTTCTCAAAGAATGGTTTTTCTCGAAAACCATGCAGGTGAAGAGAAAAAAGGAGAGAAAAGAAAGAAACTAGCAGACGTGAGGTTATGGTACTTACTGCTTATCTTCATACCGCCGAGGGGCGGATTCGCAGGCTGCTTGTTACCCTCGGCGAAGGAGGTGGTTCTCGGTCGTCCGCTCATTCTGAAGCCTTCTCGACCGCCTCCACCTCCGCCTCCACACCTACACCGCGATTTGAGAAGGTTGCGTCCCCGCTGCCTCTTTCTCTCCTGCTACTCCTACTGCGTCTACTAGGTTAGGTTGGCCGGTATCTCTCCGGCGATTTTCCTCCTCCTCCTCCGCCACCGCCTGAAGTTAGCCCGGGTAGTCGCCGTTGATGTCGTTTCCCTCGTCAACACCACTTCGCACATCAATAACAGTCGCACACGCGATTATCACATCGCACGAGAGTGCGCGCTCACGCGCGCACTTTCTTTTCTCTCTTTCTCTCTCTCTCTCGCTCTCTTCTTATCTTCTCTGTCACCTCTTCACACCGTTTTCACGGTTTCTACTTCGCACGTTATGCCAACGACGCTCGACTGCTAGTTCGGGGAAAAGTTAAAGAGTGTGACAAGACTGAAGGAGGAAGGTGAACGTGGAGGGCAGGAGTATAGGAAGAGAGATGGCGACAAGCAGCGCGAGAGACCGCAGACGACACTAACTTTTTTACGGATAACTTTTACCTTCCTGTGTACGCGCGAAGAGGTGACGAGTGTCGATCAGCACTCCGTGTTCGTTGCACGAAAGCACCTTTTCCACAGAAGGGGGAAGGAGGAGAGAGAGGAGAGCCCACCTTCATACACTCGTCGTCGTACAAGCGACACCACCCTCTTTTTCGGCACACTGACGCGCACTCTCTCGGCGACGACGGCCTAGCTTCCTTCTCGCGCTGCTGTCACGGCGATGCAGCAGTGGCGGCCGCGAGCAGTCCAAAGCGCGGTACCGTCAGCCAATGAACGGTGGCGGGGGAGGGGGAGGGATGACGCTGCGGAGCGCCGCTGGCGAGAGCAACGAAGGGTGCGTGCCAACGTCGTGGCGGCGGGGGGGGGTGGGGGGGGGGGGGGGGGGGGCGGGGGAAGGGGAATGTAGGAAAACAACGTCGTGGCGGCGGTGGCGATGGTGGCGGTGGCGGTGGTGGCGGTAGTGGCGACGACAGATCGACGTTTTTAGGATGGCTTGTACTACTTGACTCCTATAAAACACGGCTGCTTCCTCGCGATCCCGCGCCTCGGCTCTCTCCGTCGTCGTCGGTCGCCGACGTATTACGTAGCGGCGCGCCACCGCGCGGTACTCCGCCGACGACGCGCGGCGTGAATTCTTACTTCCACGGCCAACGTCGCGTTGATCTCCCACCGATCGCGGCTATCTTCGCTCCGCACTCGCTACTCCGACGTTTCTCTCTCTCTCTCTGTCTCTCTTTCTCTCACTGGTGTCGTCGCGCCTCGTTCCGTCTTTCTCTCTCTTCTCTCTTTTTCTGTCTCACGCACTATACTTTTCTTCTTCACTGTCTCTCTCTCTCTCTCTCTCTCTCTCTCTCTCTCTCTCTCCGTTATAGTCTCGTCACTCGCTAGTTACTCCGATTCTTGCGTTTTACTCTACTTCACTCCTCGTCGTTGATGTCTGACAGATTTCCGTACTGCTGCATATCGCCGCGCGCGGTGCGAGTCGGGTAGTATGAAATTACGGAGCGAGAAGAACGACTATTGCACTCTACTCAACAGGAGATCGTCGTCGCCGTCGCCGTCGTCGCCGTTCTTCGTCGTCGTTCTCGCGTTCAACGCCCGTATTCAATCGGCACTCTGTCTGTCTTTTTCTTTCTTTACCTACTGTGTGTCGTGGGCACCGGACAGGCCGACGCAGGGCAGTTCTCGCAGCAGTTCCTCAGTATGTCGCGACGACGCGATTGGACGCGGTGGATAATATCGAACGCGGAAAAAAAAGAAACACGCGTCCGCGGCGGTCACACGGCGGCGGTAATGTCGAACGATACACACGGCGATCAGCGACGACCTCTCTGCCTCGTCGTCGTCGAGCAGCAGCACGGCAACACCACACCGACCATTGAATTTTTCGATACCTCCTCCTCAGACATTGACCCGTTCGGGCGAGATCGGGCCAGTCGAGCGCCGGCGGACATTGCCGAATGTGACGTCAGCGACACCCCGCCCTGCCCCTTGCCGAGAGAGCCAAAAGCAGCGTTCTATCGAGTATCGATAGTGGCGCTGTAGTCACGCTTTTCAACGCTCAACTCTCGCGATTTTCCATTTGCATTGTGGCGCGCAATTCGAATTTCAGAAAAGAGTCGTGTAAATTCCATGACATCGACGAGGCTATTAAAAACCGACATTTTTATCGTAGTAAAACGGAGAGTACAGACTCTTGCATAATACATAATGCATAAGAAATTGAACCAATCAAAGTCCTTCATTTTCTTCCTTTCAATAAAATAAAGAACTCTGACGGAATTTCTTATGCTTTATGTGTTATGCGTTGTGCAAGAATCTATGCCCGCTTTAAGCTAATCTGCAATACGTTCCTTGCTTCCTGTGTCTTCCTTTTTATCTGTTTGTACAGTTTTATTGACACGATATAATCACGGTTCTTTCCACGTGTTTCCTCAGTTGACACTAAATATTCTTGAAATATTTATAAGATTCCTAAAATCTTAAAAAAAAAAAAAGATTCCAAGAGTATTTCAGAATATCGCGAAATATTTACGAAATGTAGAAACAACGTTCAAATATCCGTTAAAAACTCCATTTATACATATGTCGTTATATATTTCGAGAATGTTCCATATATATTCCGCAAAATTTTAATTTTTCTAGAAATTCCAGAAGAAGAAGAATTTGTGAAGAACACATTCCATATTATTCACTTTAAAGCCCAATTTTGGAGCTCACTTGGCTACGTTCCATTACACGCATAATATGCATGAGGTATTATTTTATCCTTATTTGACTCATTTAATTGTAGAGCCTCTATCCCCCGCAAAGGGATATCACAGGATCTTTTTTCTAAATTTATCGCATGGTATTGTGACCCTTTGTTTGAGTCGGAAAATCAGGGGAAAAGATGAAGAAGACAATCACCCTGATAGCTTTTTGTCGGGCTGTGTGGCTCTCCATAGCAAGATAATTTACTTGCTAATATGAACGACTCGAAATTTCAGCCATGATGCAAATAGACAAGTAGAAGTAGATATGGTATGCTCTTGCGCATGTTTATCTGCTGCGACCAATCAGAGCTTGACCTTTTTTTATCATTTTTTAGCAGATTTTATTTTAATATTTCTGCTATGACAGTAAAATCACCGACGAGATACTATTAAAGACTCTTGGCCCTGAGCAAATTTTTGTGACTATCAATGAGGCCCGGGGAGCGATAAAAAGTAGGGGTTTCCATTTAAGATTTCAAAGTTACCCCCAGCTCCACTCCCAGAGAGAAGTGGGAGGTGGCTAAGTTTTGTGGGATAGAATTGCTCCTTCAAAAATGTTAAGGGTTTATATGGAACATTTTTTCATACAATGCTTATTTTTCCAAATATTTTGCAGTCTCTGATTAAAAAACTATGTATTGTAATATTAGTATTTTATATTGTGTATATATATATATATATATATATATATACACA